AAATTCACAGCCAGATAATGAATTATTTTACAAATAATTCTCGTTATTGGCTGCTTCGCATCCAATAACTATATATTCTTGGCGAATTTGATTAGATTGTATTTTAACTGAAGTCATTGAACTGCTATATCTGTATACATCATAAGAGTCCTAATCCGGGTAAATCCGTCAGCTGTTTATCCGTATCAATAATTCAAATCACCCAGTTATCTGGATATCAATAGTAAATGGATATCCGAATAAATTCAGATCCGGATATCTAATAGTTATACGTGAATGCTTAATGGATTGGAATTCTATATACACCTATCTAAAAGGAATTATTATAGTACGCACGTCCCTTGCGTATGATAGTCAATTACAATTGTTATACAGTATTACTGCATATAAATTTGGTACGTACGTACATCGCACACCTATTGTGTCACAACCAATGTGATTAAACTACGTAGTGTTAACTAAATAGAGTTACATTGTACACTCAAAACGAAGATTCCATGATGAAATGTTTATCGTATACAGTAGATTATGAGCTTTCATAAACGAAGTTTCACTTAATATGGGAATTATATGAAGCTTAAATTTTTGTGGTCTCTATTTTCGTTACATAAAATTTTTCTTCGAAAAATAGGCCACAGTATCACGTGCTGCCAATCGAACCTGAATAAGAAAGTTAAAATAAAACTTTTAAGTAATAAGCATATTCCATATAGTTCACTAATAAGAGTTTGGTTTATTTTTTTCAATTATAATCACTACTATATAGTTGTGTAGCATTATGCTATAAATCACGCAGTATTGGTTTATTAACTGCCAGTTTTTTAATTGACTTAATTATATAGAAATAAATTAATGCATAATTAAACACGATTATATACAAATAATTTTATTTATTTTAAATATGATTATAAATTTTTTTTAATTAATTGAAAAACTTCATATTCATCTATAGAAAAAAACTCTTTTGAAGCTCTAATTGGTTTTTCATAATAACATGGGTAACATAAACACCTGCAATTTTCTTTAAAATTTTCTTCCAACCATAAATCACTACGAAAATATGGCCCAATGCTTATTCCTGATTTAATTGATTCATGTTGTCTCGCTCGACTTAGTATTGAATTTGCTGGTTTTTTATCATCTAATTTAAATATAAAGCTTTGTGTGGTATAAAAATATTTTGATTCTGTAGACCCTATCCAACTGAATGGATTATAACCACCTAAAATTTCATTTGTTCCTTGAACCCTTAAAACCGTTATTGTTGGTCCTTTATTATCACATTTCTTATGAAATTCCTTGGGTGTAAATCCATCACGACTTCCTCTAATAAGCAACTTGAATTCATATGGAATATTATCTGTCTTATAAATTTTTCTAACTATCTTTGAAAAAACACCTCTATGTGGATTATCAATCCAACTAGAAATATATGCTGCATGTTCTAATTTCATTAATACAGAATCTATTGTATTTTCATTATTAACAATTTCTATTCCATTTGACGGTTGTATATCAGTTTCCGGTGATTCATTTAGTATTACTATACTTTCTCCTGAGCTTTGTTCATTTATTGATGCACCTCCGGAACTCAATGGTGAAGGTGTATCCGGTGATACTTCTGTTTGCATAAATTGATCTAGCGTGTCGAAAACTTTTTTGAATTCTGGACGATCTTCAGGTTCTTCACTCCAACAACTTGTATATAGTTCTATGTATTGTGGAGATGTATCTTTCACTGGTGTTTCCCTTTGTCCTTGTGATATTCGATAAACTATTGCATCTCTGAATTTTAATTCGTCAAATGGTGGCTTTCCACTTGAAATTTCCCAAAGAATAACTCCAAAACTATAAATGTCTGATTTCTCCGTACGTATATATTTGGGATCGCTAAAACATTTTGGATCAATATAAGCTGGCATTCCGTGTACATTCGAATATTCAGTTATGCTTCTAATATCTTCACTTAGTTGTGTTGATATTCCAAAATCTGCTATAATCATTTCACCACGGCGAACTAAAACGTTCTTAGAGTGCTGTAAAAAAAACAATTCATTTAATCATTATACTGCATTATTAATTTTAATCGAAAAATCTGTAACAAACAAATAATATCGTACGTACAAGATCTCTGTGTATAATCTTATTCATATGTATGTATCCGATACCTTGTGCTATCTCCTTTGCAATCCGTAATTTATCAATCCAATTAAGAATTGTAAAATTTTCTCTTAAATAATCTCGTAAATTCCCACCTTCTGCATATTGTAATATAAGTTCAATAAAATTGTCAGGATCTAATGTAATTGATTTAAAATTTTAGTATTGATGATACTTCTTTAGAAATTGTAAGATTGAATAAATTATCTAACCTTGAGTTACTCCGTATAATTGATTAATGTTAGGATGGTAGCCAATAGCGTATAAATTTTTAAGCTTTAAGATTTATATGTATAAATATAGTCAATTATTTAATAAATTTAAATCTTTGATAATAATCGAATGTAATATATATATATTTACCTCTCTAACAAAATTTCGAATAACCGTTTCATCAGAATATAACTCTCTTTTTATATGTTTCAAAGCAACTACTACACCTCCACCATTCCATTTTGCCTTTTTAATTACACCGAATCCTCCTTTTTCAAAATTTTTAACTTCGGTGAATTCACTATAATTTACATATCTGATATTTTGACTGGTAATAAAATTTTTAAGTTTCTCAGAATTATTTGTCATATTTTACAAATGGTTAGTTGATTATTAAACACTTAAAGTAGTAAGATGAAAAATTTTGTCGATGTAATATGGATATGAAAAAAAAAAAATTTCATTTGATTGATTGTGAAATATATGACAAATCATTATAAACAAATTGTCCACCTGATGTCCAAACTTTTTTACAAATTCGTTTGTTCGGAGATAATTTTGGCATATCCGTGTTATACATGACATAAAAATTTATATGTAGTGCAAGGTAAATACAAATACCGAGATTTTTTTTTGTTCTGAATAAAATTTATGCTGACATAATGTTAAGAATTTTTTATTTAGTGCGTAAGAGTGAAAACCTAGAATTGATAATCGGCGTTTTTTCTAATTTAAGCAATATACAATACTGAAATTATGGTAATTTCAGTGATACCATTATTATATCAAAAAACGCCGTTCGTCAATTTTTTAGAGGCACTCGGATGTAATCGTACGTACGTACGTAAGCTTATTATTTATTTAATGCTACCTGTTACGAGATCAATATATACACAAGTTTCATTAGCAAGTAGAATTAATATTATTTAACAAAAAAAGATTTAATTTTTTGCAAATACCTTAGCATTAGAAACTATCGTAGCGGAGGATAATAATCTTGATTGATAATTAAAAAAAAACTATGTTGATTTTTTCAAGTAGTGCCTGTGATCAATCAAATTATCGTTTTTCCTTGTATTTGCTAGAATTTTCTGTGCCTTGCATTAACCTTTTTTTTTGAACAGCTTCGACTGACAAGCCAATCAAATTTACGGATAATGTAAATTTTATGGACGGTGTCATGCTCAATTTTTTTAGTATCATTAACATTATTTTATGTATTTCTTAAAGTTTGTGGCAAGTGGTGATCTTAACCCTCAGAGCGGTATTGAAACCCTCGGTGAGTGATTGAAACTAGGGATGTTATCTTGCTTGTCCAAACTCAGTTCGAGCCTGTTTGAAACCCAAACATGTTAAACTCGAGTTTGCGATCATGTGATTTTGGTTAGGAATCTTTAAGCTCAGTACTGCTCATAGTGCTTAAATCGAGTTCAAAATCGATTTATTAAGCTAAATGTTTCGTGATTTATGACTTTGATAATCAAAAGTTAATTTTTATGACGCAAATGATGTAAATGAGTTTCGTATGCTTTTTTATTTTTTAAAAAAAAAAAAAATTATAAGATTTCTTATCCTCCACAACAATTTCAATGTTATCTCGGCATACAATTGAACCGGAGTACTAACAGATCTCTTTTGGAACGAACTTCCGAATGTGGGACAAGCAACAATGCAAATATTGCAACAAAGTCTATTCAGTGGATACAAGACTGTCTACAAAAAACCTGTGCTTTAAATATAATTATTTAAATAAATAGAATGAATTAATAAGAATATTCGTAAGATGAATTTTGAACTGTATAGTGTGGGTAAAATGCTTCTAATAATAAATCAACATCTTATTAAATGAATTATTACAAATTAACAAGCTTTTCTCTTATTAAAAATAAAGATTTTCTACTATTCAGAACGAGTTTCAAAGCACAAACTAGCAGATCTAAGCAGGATAGCATCTCTAATTAAAACCATCAGCGAGTGATTAAAACCCTCGGCGAGTAATTAAAACCCCATACGAATTAAAGATATGTAAGGGAGTGATTTCAGTTTATGAAGTGAAGAAAGGTTGTTGATAGTACTGTATTTAGCATTATTGTAATAAGTCGATGTATTGATTTATGTTAATAAAGAGAATCTTATAACCTGTAATTATGTGCATTAGTTTATCGATTTAAACCATTTGACCTTAATCACTATTTGCTCACGATCGAAGCTAAATTGTTTCAAGGTCCTATAAAGCTCTCCGCTGGTCGTACGTAACAGTAGATTTTGCTCCAATCAATTATATCACTTGATGTGATAATTTGATTCATGGCGTTAATAATGTAAATATATATGATATAAACTTGTTCATAAATTTATCACATGAAAGAGAATTTTTTTATATAAGAAATAGAATAAATTTATTAAAAAATAACATAGTAGGTCTATTTAAAAAAGAAAACCAAGACAAGTCTCTAAGAAAATGAATATTAAATGCTATCATTTTTGAAATTAGTTTCATAATATTTTCGCAAAGAATATTTTACTTTATGCTATTACTTTTAAAAAATATTTGATCTTTTAAAATCTTGTTTCTTTGTTTTCTATGTAATTTTTATATTTAGCACAATAGCCTAAAAACTTTGTAAAAAGTGTTTTGTAAGTATGAATACACTCTACCCTCGTTATAACGGACCTGTCGGGATGGGAAATTCTGTCCGTTATAATAAGAATCCATTGTTATATTATAACGGATTTACTAATATATATAGGATATAATCCGCTATAACAATAGTAGTTTGTACTATTTAAAAAATCATATAAAATCCAGTATAACAAGATTTATATATACAGTAATCGCATATTTGTAGTTTGAGTTCAATTAATTAATAATTTATTTGACTAAGTGGTTGAACCTTTATTTAAAAGCCTCAAAATATTAAAATTTATTTACAGCTGCAGTCCAAAACTCAATAAGGCGAAGTTCACATTCTGATCTAATCCTTCGTTATATCAAAAGATAAATATATATGATTCAAAAAATATCCGTTACTTAAAATATTCGCTATGCAAAAATTTATAATCTCAAGCTTTGACTACAAAAAACACACAAAAAAAACTAACCAATCTTAGGTTAAATCGACTTATATAGCGTCGCCAAAAAAAAATGGTAGCCGGATTTTTTACAGGCTAGTGGTCGTACCCGGATAACTCTTTATCCGAAAGGGTATACCCTTTAATAAAATCCAATAACCGGTTTTATATCCTATTGAAGTAAAAGGATAACGGTTACACCCTAGGTTATATCCGTATATCATGTGATTAGCTTATCTACGTAGATTATTGGCCAATCAATTATAGGATGAAATAAAAATGCTATATCTACCTTTACTAAAAACACATTACTACTTTATAATATATTTTGAATAAACATCTGATATTTTTTATTTAATCATAATCCATATAATAAATTTTATTACATTTCTATAATATGTATCTCCTTATTTATACCCATGCAACATATATACAATATACATGGTATATAGACCGATTATTTATGTAAGTATAAAAACATATTATTGTGACTATGCTTTACTTTATATTACCCTAGGTTATCTCTTAAATTAACCGGATATCCTAATCATGTAACTCGTAGTTAATTTTATAGTCCGGTTATCCGGATAACCTAGCAGTTAACCGATTACAATACCTTAGGGTACAAGCACTATTACTGGCTTGCATATGACTTCGGATACTAATTGTCAGTAAAATTATATATCATACAATGATGACAATTATCACTGATGTAGTTTTATTGTATTGTATTAGTAAACAATAGCAATAACAATAATGATAATTATTGGATTTTTTCTTTGACTTAGTGATTATTTACTGTGTCAAATTTAGATAATAAAACCTGTATTGGTTGTCATGTACCTAAAAATTATGAAGAATTTCTAAGCGAAAAAGGTTTTCTTGTAATAAAATGTTTGAAATGTCGAAATAATCTTAAAATAGCTCGTTCAAAAAAAAAAAAAAATCAACCTGAATTGACAATTACCCATATGGATATTACTGAAGCAGTGTATAACTCCTTAATTTCTTTGAATAATACTAATGATTTTTATGAAGATGAAAATGAGGAGTTAAATATAATTCTTAATATTGAGCATTCATCTTTTCAAAATTTTCTTTTAGAAAATAACTTTTCTAACAAAGAAAATCTTAATTTTGAGTTTGGATATTGCATAATTAAATTAATCTCAGAAGGTGATGGATA